TCATTAACTTTTACAATTTTTACGAGAATTTTCAATTTTTCCTTGCGGTCTAACTACTCCCGGCTTAAAGATTTAATTACGACAGCTCTACTAGTTTTAAATTATAACAAAGTCTCATCGTCTTCTCCAATTCAATTCTTTATATGTCATAATGGATATGAATGTTGAAAATTCATGGAAATTGTCTTATAATTCATCGAGTCTGCGCAACGGTAATTTTAATCTTTTCCAGATCAAGCCATTTTCTTATCACTTGATGAGAACCGTATGTCGACATTAATTATTTACCGATATATCAAACCTACTAACAAATTATTCATTACTTTTAAAGTGGTTTTCTCTGTAATAACTTCAGTTATTGAAAGAAGTAATATAAACAGTTTTTATTAAATATTTTTAGTATTCTTTATTTTTCGAAAATTTATTAAGGACATGTGAAAAGGAATATAAATATGCAATATTTTTTGATGGTGTGTAAAGAGTTAGATTTTCATTAAAAATATCAGAAATGAACGACGCTTGTTCAATGATATTCGAAAAGAATTGAACGCCGCGCAAAGTTTGCGCTTGTTTTTTTTGTGAGTTTTTTTAAGCGCGACGCGATACGTGATTTTGATTTCAAAGAACTCATCGTATGCGATTCGCCGACTGATCTCAGAATCGCATTTTGATCGATATCGCGCATTTTTGCTCGCTCGTGATCCCGCCCGTAAAGGCCAGACGAAGGGATGGTCTCGTTGGACGACAAATTGAACTTACACGCGTCAGGATTCAAGATGCGATCTCTCGGGTATTATGCATCTGACGCTTTTTCGCGAATGCCGTGGCGCCGACTTTTCTTTTACATCGGCATTCCACGGCGAGAAATTAAAAGCTGCTTCGATAGAGATACTACCGAGCGGAGCTCGTTCGGCGGGGATTTACTGTGGCGATTATCCCAATTAACCGCGTGCGCTCTTCGAGCCTCGGCTTGAACTACGAGCTGAAGTGCCACCTGCGGACCAGTTCCCGCGGTGTGGTTTTTGAGCCGTGCTACATTCGAGTAAGACGTTAAGTGCATCCCGTACGTTTCCGGAGAGCGTTACGGCCGTCTCGCAAATTCCCATTAGCGGACCTCGCCCTTCCCCTCATCAGCGTCGTCGCTCCAGCGTTAAGCATCGAGCAGGTTTTTCTCCTGGTCGGCTGCTGTTGTAGTGAATTCGGTAGAATTCCAATCTGGACTCTTCATCGTCGGCTATTATCGTCAATATTACTTTCGTGACTGAAAGCTATTGCTCCGAAAGATATTTTTTTCACACAGAAAAATTTGCAACATGAATCTGCAATAAGATATGAAGTATTTTAAAAATTTATTTTCTATTAAATGTTGAAACAATTTTATATTATATATATTTTTACATAAATTTGAATAAATTTTACTTATTGCATACGCATAAATTTTCATTATTATGTGTGTAATATGTTAGCAAGTTTTAATTTTTTTATTGATGCTATTATTTTTTAAAAATAATATATGTTTTCGAGAAATAATTTACGTTTTACAATAATATATGTACAATTTATTAATGCAACTTGAACTTTATTTCTCGAAAAATTCTCTCAATTATGTCATTTTTTATTTAGTTTCTTGAGTCGAACGTAAACTATTATTTGGTTTTCTCTTGATGAATACAATACATTCGAGTAAGACGTTAAATACGCTTGGCGTATATTTCAGTCCACTCACAAATACCCATTAGGACCTCGCTTTAGCCGACCTTCATTGGCGTCATCCTTTTGGATGGTGTTAAGCGTGGGCCGGCTTTTTCTCTCGATCACTCGCCACGCCGTCGAATTCGGCGGATTCCAGACTCTGGCTTCTGGCCATTGTCACCGTCCGTCCATATTAGCTCGTGCAGCGTCGGCCCGGGAGGGACCGAGGAGATTAATTAGGGACGATGTTTTAGCTGCAAAAATGGGGAGAGGGGGGCGCCGAGGCAAGAAGCGGCAGCATCAGCCGCCTTAAGTCGCGCTAACTAACCCGGCAACGCCACGAGACGATCGAATGGACCTCATCGCTCCCTGCCCACAAGAACGTGCTACAAATTAAGCCCGGATCGGCAGAAACTATCTCGAAAATTTAACCGCCGGCTGTTGCTCCCTACGCTTCATCGTCTATACGCTCGCGAACAGGGACGGATGGCAACTTTCCGTGGTCTGAATTCAGTTATTTCTGAGAGCTCCCAGCAGGAGGTTTT